TAATATATACTTGCACAGCATTCATTCTACCCGATTGTATTTTGTTTAAAATTATTTTATAGATAGTAAATTAGCACAAACATGCAATAACATACAATCAATTCAATATCTGGTGAAAAACATCTATAATTTTAAAGGTCCAGAGAGCCAAATAATAAAGTGTAAGATTTAAACAGGTCTCTGAAGAGTCAAATAACAGGACAAAAACTTTCACCTTCCCTATAGCCTGTTTGCTATACAATTATATAATAGTTTATTAGCTAAAAGAAATGCATAAATATTGTTTAAGAGAAAACCAGTACCAAGCAGCAAGTGTATTTTATATTCCACTTACTTAAATACAAGGAATACAGCAGCAGTGAATTGCCTTTTTTCAGCAATTTTTTTTTTATTCTGGGATTGAAAAACTGGATTTCCCTATGATCTCCCATCTAAGCACATATCAGGACTGATACCCACTTTCCTTTTTGCCAACAGCCAAAGTCAGGAGCTGCCATCTGCTGCTGACAACAAGCATTTGGTTTTCAATATCTGCAAGGCCTCTTAAAGCAAAAATAAATGATCGTATCACATATAAGAGAAATGAGAAATGTTTCAGCCAGAAGAGGGAAACTTCATCTTCCTAGTAAATATGTGGTAGTACAAAGGTTAACGGGCAAAGAAGCTTGCACTCCAGCTAGCAGTCATGTTTCACAAACACCCCCCACCCCGAAAGGTCGCGATTGCCAAACCAGACAATTCCTTTTTAAATCCCACGAAGGGGGAGTCCTGCCAGCTAATGAGTCACCCGGGACAGCGGTCCCGGTCCCGTGGAAGAAGGAGCCGAAGCTGTTTTGGCGTTTAGTCATCACCCGTCCAGGCAAGTTCCAGGCGACTGCGGTGGACTTCGCTGTGTTTCTCCTCTTACCTGCCCGTCATGGCGGCTGTGGGTCCAAAGCGCTCTTGGCCAGAGAGCTTCGGTGCAGGGGTCGCGGGGAGAGAGACGAGCAGTGCGCCAAAGCACCCCGCTCCCGACTGCAGCAGCCCCGCAGCCCGACTGCTCTTGTCCTCCGCCCGGTTCTGGCTGCCGTGGCGGGCCGCCCCTCTAGGTCAGGACAGGCGGCCTGATCTTCCTCCCGCCCCTCGGCCAGGCACATATTTTTCCTAGAAAGGGAATGAAATAATAAATAATGAAATAGCGAGGGCGGCGGTCTTCTGCAGTGGGACTTAATAGTGCCGGGCAGTGGAAAGCAAACCGCAGCTACAATAGGTTATGGCTTGCTTGCTCTTACTCCGAAGATACTTTAAAAAGCTTGTAGGATTTAAAACCAGGGTGCGCCTCATTCTGTGCCTATATAGCCCAGTGTACTGTATGTATATATGTATGTATGTAGCCATCTTTTTAGGAATATTCTTTTTTTTTTGTAAATTTTATTTGAGTTTTCACAAAAAGAAAAGAAATACAATTAAAACATCCTTTTTGAAAGCAGCATAATCCCGGGTTACACTTCTTCGTTCAGACGCAAATTGAGGTTCATGCTCATTTTTATATTCTATTCTATATCTTATTACTATTTTACATTTTCTACATGGCTTCTCCCCTTTTTTAATTTCAAAATTTCTCCTGTAGTTACTGATTGGAGTATGACGCCTTTATATCTTTCCCCTAAAGTTATAACACTCAATATAATACATAACTTCCATTCGGATTCTGCTTGGTACATTCTTAAACTACACACAGTATTCTTGAACAAAAAAGAAAGAAAAAATTATAAATGTATATAACATTCCATTCCAATTCAATTCTTTCATTAATATTAATATTCATTAAAGTCTTAACATTTTTCACGTTACTTTTCAATTAAATATGATACTTCTATGGGAACAATTATAAACCTTCCAGTCAATTCCGCCCCCCTTCACTTATATTTTATAAAACATTGACTAATTAAAATGTTCCCATTCCTTCCTAATTAAATTTTCTCATTTATTTTATTTCACTTATTTTATTAACAAACATTTCACTAAATTACACTCCCTCATTTTAATCATACATTGTTTCCAATTTTCTAAAGTTATTTCTATTACTAATATAACAATACAATCTTATGTACCTTTACAGAATCCCTTTTTTCAGTTAGATTTTCACCCATTATCTCTAAATAGGTCCTGTTTATATCATGCTCCAGTCCTTTGTAACTTCTTTTCCTTTCCTTCTTCCCTCTCCTCTTCTCTCTCCCCTTTTTACCGCCTTGTCTCTCTACCTCTATTCCCCACTTCTGTATTCCCCTTTTCTGTTGCTTTCCAGTATACTTATTTTTTGAATTTTTTTTCTTTTCTTTGGTTGTTTTTTTAAGTCTTAAATTCTCCATCCTCTTCCCCCCGTTTCCTTTTTTCCCCCCACATAGAGTTACTTGTTTGTTAAAGATGGTCTTCTTTGTCCCAGTCTTCTTGTTTTGCAGTATTTTCTTGTTGTTTCTCATAGTTCCAAATCTCCATGTCTAAGAATTGAAAACCAAACCAAAAGAACCCTTCCCTTCTTGTGCTTCTTCTTTGTACTTTTTAAGTTCCATTTTCAATTCATCCAAAAGTGATGCCATTGTAGAAATTTTTAAACAACCACCCGATTGATTTTAGTCATTCAAATATAATAACCAAAAATCCAAAAGTCGCCAAGTAATCCAAATACACACAAGCTGTTTCTTTTTGCTCTTTCTTTTTTTTCCCACTTCCTCTTCCTAGGGTTACTATTTAGTTGCAAAGTTTCAGTTAAAAGGTATCTTTTAGAAGTCTTATTGAAATTTTACTTTAGATTCTTTTAAAGTCCAGACAGTTTCCTCCCTCTTCCAGATCCTGCCCTTATTCTTTTTCTCTCCCTTCCTGCTTATAGAAGAAAAAGTTTTTAATGACCAGAAATCTTTATTGTCCCTTTGGCATTTAGTTATATTTTCAGCTTAATTGCCTATTAATGCCAAAGCGGATTTTTCCAATTTCTTATTCTTAACTGTCAATATAAGGGAGGAGAGAGAAGAAGAAAAAAAGCCAATCCTTTCCCTTTTCACTTTCTTTCGCTGCTTCCGACTCTTCTTTGGGAGCGATGTTATTTCTTGTAAAATTTAAATTCCAGGTTACCTTAGTTGTTGCTTTTTCAACTTAGCCCGGTCAGCCAAAACTTTCACTTCTTATCTTCCTCCTGCACGTTCTTTTCCGGTTGAGTTCTTCTTTGAGGTGGCCATTTCTGACAACCGCTCCTACCGCCTTCGGGAAAGGGAGTAATGGCCAGCTGAGGAGGAGAGATGCAGCTCCCCTCGACCCTGCTGCCGGTCTCCCTCCTCTTCACCAGCTCTACGGGGTGGCTTAGCCCCGAAACCAGCCGGCTTGGGGCGCTCCAGTGGCGAGCCCAGGCAGAAACTGCGCACGATCGCGGATTCCTGTCTGTCGCCGAAGCCCTTCAAACTGGAAGTCCACTTTTTAGGAATATTCTTAATATCCCACTACAAATTTGTAAAGCTGCCCATCTCACAAAATGTGACTTTGGGCAAGTACAGGTAGTCCTCAAGTTACAACAGTTTGTTTAGTAACTGTTTAAAGTTACAATGGCACTGAAAAAAGTGACATGACCATTTTTCGCATATACATGCATTCTATTTTGTCAGAATATGACAAAAAATTAAGAAGATAAAGTTAGTGCAATAATATTGTTCACAACACTTATTAATGTATTAAGTATTAATACAATTATGAAATTTAAACCACAAAAATAATTTTCATTACCAGTAAAGCTGTAACGAACGTATCTCCAGCACATAGGATTGAGGGATCCTACAAATTTTGATCTCTTTTCAGGGATGAGCTTGGGGAATTTGAAAACATGAGGTAGAACATTGTCAAGAGCCTGGACCTAAGAGTACATTGCCAAGAGTACATGGCTTGGTATATCTATCATCAATGTATTATGAAGCTAGATATCTGGAACTGGAGTATGTTGTAAATGAGCCTGGGGTGGACCAAAGCAGTGCAGGTGTGCTTATTGCTGCACTTACAATATCTAAGTCACTGCAATAATAACCTTATTCCACTGGATTTTGCTTTCTGAACACTTTTGGGCATGTCTTACAGATTTGTCTGCTAATCATGAAAATAACCTGTAATTTAATCTATCTCATACCGTTTATATATATTTTTTTAAATGGCAATGTAGGCCCTTTAGTACTTGTTGGCTATTCTGCATACATGAAACATTCAGTACACCAAGTACAACTGGAATATTGAGAACTCAAAAATATTCCAGTTGTACTTGTTGTGCTGAATGTTTCAAGCTTTGCTGCTTGAAATACAGCTCAGATATATCAAGCACTGTTGTTACTTATGCATATGGGACAGTCAGGGAAGAGAATTACATTACATTAAAAAGAAATGACTATTCTCAAAGAATTTGTTTTCAGCACAGAAAAATTTGGTACATGAACCACTTGTTGACCCCCCCAAAATATTTTTGTGTTTGTTTCACACACCTTACATAAAACTCTGAAAATTTTTGTGAAAATGATGAACAAGATAAAGGTTTTCTTTACTTGGAACAGATTTTTCAAGAATAACTTATGCCAAGATTAAGGATCAGATACGCCATCAATGACAAGTGGTTCAAAGATTTGTTAGTGGAGCCAGAGAAAATCACCTGGAAAAAGGATTCAAGGATATTGAGATTTTTTTTTGACAACTACAGAGCACCAAACTAGATCCAGCTGGTTGATAAACTTAAGACATACAAGACCATGAAGTGCAATTTTAGTGGAAATTTGTTTTTTTGCATTCCCTTGGTCTTCTTTCCCAAAAATGTAGGTGCAATCAGCAGCAAACATGGTGAAAGGTTTTGGGATAATGCTTTAAATTACAGGTGGAAGATCTGCTTAATTGCTAATAGTTTATTTTGAATGTTGATGTACCAGAGAGAGTATAGTCACCACAAATGTACTAATAATGGGTAATGATCACCAATTTTTGTCTCTTTGATTACAGATTATATGCCAACAAGTCATTTTCAATTCCTAGTGACCACACAGATTTTTTTCCCCATGACCGTTTGTCTCTAACTTGATCTTTCGGGTCTTTTTGTCCTCTTACATAGAAACTAAGTATTGATCAAAATGAAAATAAAGAACTCCTACTCTAGGGCCATAAGGCTGACATCCTCAACAAAGAGCACAACAGTTTCTGAGCATCATTACTCCTACAGTTCCAAGTTCCGTCCTTTCGCTAACAATTGCCAACCGATAGTAGAGTCGCGTCTTTGCCCGTGACTGTAGGACCGCCCCCGTTATCTCCTGCCTTCTGCGAATGCGCAGTTAATACTTTTGAAGCCGAAAGGGTGAGACGAAGTTGCCCGTCCAAAGGGCGTCCCGAAAATGTTCTCGTTCAGGCGAGGTGGGAGAGTCGCGAGGCCCGGGCTACCTGCGTAAGCTCCTCCTCCGCCCATCTTTTGTATTGCACGCACGCAGTTGCCTGAATGAGGATCACGTGTTTGAAGTTGGTGCCTGACCAAACCAAGGCGACCGACCGTCTGCTTAGCGGTGCCGCTTTGTTAAGGCGGCTGCGTCCCACCGGTACAGAAGCACCGGGCCGAAGAGCAGCCCATCTATTGTCTTCGCCTCCCGCTTGTTCCCGAGAGACTCCTCGCCAAAATGGCAGATCTGAACCGGCAACTGCAAGAATATTTAGCTCAGTCCAAGGGCGGCGGCGGCGGCGGCTCGACGGTTTTGTCGGTTCCTCAGACCCCGCCTCAGGACGAGGCAGAAGAAACCGACTCGGGCTTGGGCGTCTGGCTGCGGCGCATGAACCCTTTCCCCGCGACAGAAACGTGGTCGGGGGCGGCCGAGCCGGAGACGGATCCGTGGCTACCGACAGGGATGTCCCGTTGGCAGAGACTAGTGGGAAGTGCCCTGTGTCTTCTGCTGGCTGCTCTCTGTTTCGGCCTCGCCGCGCTTTATGGCTCGCTCCTGCTGCTTCGGAAGTTCGCGCTGCTCTGGTCCTTGGGCTCGGCCTTTGCGTTGGGAGCCGCTGGTTTCTTGCGGGGCCCGAGTCGTTTCCTGGGCGATCCTGACCGGCGCGGCCTGGCTATCCTGTATTTGGGCGCCGTGGGCGGAACTCTGTACGCTGCTCTCGGGCTCCGAAGTACGCTGCTCACGGTACTGGGTGCTGTAGTTCAGCTGGGAGCCGGAGGCGCCTACTTGTTTTCCTCGTTGCCTGGCGGTTCTGCCGGGTTGCGCTATGTCGGCAGCTTCCTGGGTAGCTTCGTGCGACGAAGTGTTTCTAAAGCTCTTCCAGTGTGAGTTAATCTGTCGTCTGCAGTCCAGCTCCCGGGCTTGGGAAGACTGTTCCTGGAGGAGGCAACCGGGGCCACTTTTCAAAGTAGTGCGCAGAGCAGGATATGCAGCCTGAATCCCACCACTCCTTGAACAGAAAGTTTCTTCTGCGACTACTTGGTGAATTCCAGGAGACAAAAGACCGGGAGATAATGCAGTTCCCTTACTGTGGCTGTTTGCTTGCTGAGAAGTATTAAAGTAGTAAAACAAAAGATGTGACTTAAAACTGAATTACCTACGTTGGCAGGTAGAAGGAGCCAAAGGTTTTGTAGTCTGTGTTCCTCCGACCATTGCACAAACTACCCCATTAACCATTTTTAAAATGTACAGCCTCATGATTTCTCTCACTCTTGGGCTATAAAAGAGGCAGCTGAACATTTCCTTTACCTATTCGTTATTGAAGTGTTTTCCTTCTTCTGACACAATTTTGGGGTGGGTGTGATTAGGATGCTGTCAATAATTTAATTGATGGTGTTATTGGACTGGGATTTGTCCAGCTGCTATTAGCCTTTGAACTGGTGTGCAACTTCTCCACTCCAGTCAGTGGTACTGCCTTATTGGCCATTTTGTCCTGAACTGCAGAACAGACCTGGGTTAGATGAGGTTAGGCATATTGTTCGTTAAAGATGTGCTCCTTTAGAATATTATCTGTATGGTGAAATTAGCATGTAAAGCCATACACATGAACATATTTTCTGTACATGTTCTGGAATCCTATTTCTCAAGAGTTTTCGCCTTGTTGATCATTCCCACTTCCTTTATTCTATACTCCTTTTGTGCATTCCAACCATTGAAATGGAATATATTTCTGAAGAGCCAGTTTGAAGGGAAAAACCCCCACTAGTGTCAACTGTCTCTTGCTGTCTCTCATTTTACGTTGCTGTGTTTCTTGTTTCTCTCACATAGTTCTTCCCTTTTTACATCTTTCAAGAGTTCTAGACTGATGGCCAGAGGTGAGCTGATGGACTAGTTAGAAGTACAAATCATCTTGTATTAAAAGTGTAAGAACAACCCAGTTTGCTTTGTTACTACATCTACAAACTACATAAATTCAGGGTTGGTGTCACAATTTTGCAGTGCAAATGTGTATTTTATTTTTCTTAAAATTGTAGCCTGCAAAGCATACCTCTTACATGTTCTCTGAAGTCAAAAGCATTAAATCTAGGGAAGTAGGCTTAAAATTTAACTTAAATGCTTAATAAACTAGCACATTCTAGAAAATAATTTCTAATTAAATACAGGTAGTCCTTGACTTACAAGTTCATTTAGTGACCGTTCAAAGGTACAATGGCACTGAAAAAATGATGTATGTCCATTTTTCATAGTTACGACCTTTGCAGCATCCCCATGATCATATGATCAACATTTAGATGCTTAGCAGCTGGTTCATATTTATGACCATTGTTATGTCCCAACATCATGTGATCACCTTTTATGACCTGATAAGTAAAGTCAACGGGAAAGCCAGATGCACTTAACTTGGTTACTAACTTATCAACTGCAGTGATTCACTTAACAACTGGCAAGAAAGGTTGTAAAATGGAACAAAGCCCACTTAATTTTTCACTTAATAGAAATTTTGAGCTCAATTGTGGTCATAAGTCAAAGACTACCTGTACATGCAATAACTATCTCCAAATGTATATTATTGAATAAGAAAGCTCTACCGTAGACAATTTATTCAAAAGCAAGTCTCTGGCACTTCCACATTTGTGCATTAAGAAGGGATCTAATATTGAGTTATAGATTAATAAAATGGTAATTTTAAATTTAAATTGGCATTTCTGAGTCAGTGATTTGTGTGCATATGTAATAGAAAATAGTTGTGAATCAAAAAGTTGCTAAATAATTAACTGTGGAACAAATTTTCATGAAATAATTTAAAAGATTATTTGAAGAAGTTTCAATAAGAGAAGTACAATAAAATAAACTTCGCAATCCTTACTATTTACAGCTTAAATTAGGCTTAAATGACGCTTATGCCCAAGAAAATGACTAGGATTGCAGCCCAAGTTACTGTATAAATTAGTCTACAGACTTGGAGTATGTTACTCTATTTCAGCTTTCCTCAATTTTTTTATTCTGGAAAAACGCTTGAAATGGTCTCAAGGAACCCCTGCATAAAAATGATAAAAAATTCAAAACCATTACAATACAATTCAGTTCTAACCTGTACAATCCCATTTTACATTTACAACAGCGAACTGATAGGTCAGCAGCTGAGTTGTGGCATATAAAATTTCCCATTATTGAAAATGCTAGAGATATACAAAGTTTTTTAGAAATTGTTTTTTCAGTCATAGTCTCTCACAGATCTGCTACAATTTCAAATGGAACCTTATTGAGTTCTGTGGAACTTTACTTCTATTCCCTGGTATAATGTGACATATGAAGAAAAATGTTATTTTAAAAACTTAATAGAATGTCTAAAATGTGCTATGTTTTATGTTAAAATCAAAGGACATGGAAGTATATTGTGCCAAATGTACCAATCTACTAGCTATTTTTTTTCATTAACTATTTAAATTCTTGTGCATATTAGGATAACTACTTTTCTGTGATGTTCAACTCTTGGGATTTATCAAGAATTTAAAATGTTATATACTTTTACTGTTTTCTATATTTTCTTAATATTAAATTTGATCTGTTACTTTTTCATTGGAATGAAAATTAGATTATGTCTGCTGGTTTAGGGTAAGAAAAATGAGAGATTATTGTATTAATGAAATAAATCTGAAAGGCAGCACACAACTTGCCATGGGAAAATTCCACAGCCAACTGCCTTTGGGGAAAACTCATTATCTGCTTGGCAGCCAGAGAGAGCATTGGGTGAGCAGGTGGGCAGAGCACAGAGCTGCTGGGGCAGCCAGTGGGGAGGTGGCAGCTGGGGGCATTTTCACATACCCACTACCATGATGTAGAGCCTCGGTGATGCAGTGGTTAGAGTGCAATACTGCAAGCTACTTCTGCTTCAGCCAGCTGCCTGCAATTTGGCAGATTGAATCTCACCAGGCTCAAGGTTGACTCAGCCTTCCATCTACCAAGGTGGGTAAAATGAGGACCCAAATTGTTGGGGGCAATATGCTGACTCTAAACCACTTAGGGAGGGCTCTAAAGCACTATGAAGTGGTATATAAGTCTAAGTGCTATTGCAGTTTTAGCCACTACTACACTGAGCTCAAAGCTGCCACCGCCATGCCAGAATTGGACCCACTGCCACGGCACCAGCAGCAGGGTGTAGAAAAATGGGAAGCCCCCCCCCCCCCCACTGTGCTCTGCCCACCTGACACTCCAGTCGCTCACGACAGGTCCCCACGAGTAGTTGGCTGTGTGGAGTTATCCTGATGGTGAGCTGGCAGCAGCAATTTGGCCAGAGTGAGTTGCCCTAGACCCCAGAATTTAGACTTCTCCTTAACTACAGTGAAAACTGGAAAACAAGTTTTAAAAAATGTATCATTCTGCTTTTAAAAAAAATTAGACTCTGCTTGTTCCCTCCTTTAAGTGAAAAGAAGCATCATCACAATCACAAACATGGCTAACCCTATTTATAGTTTTCCTATAAGCATCAACTGAAAATTTGATTGATGTCCATCAGGGATGTCAAACTGGCGGTTTGCGGGCTGAATGTGTCATGCGCATGCCGTACCCGCTCTGGGAAAGGGAAAAACTTGAAACGTCATGTGACGGTAACATGACACAGCAAGTTTGACACCTATGATGTAGATCCTAATTTTAAAGAGAACTACTATGTTTAAAATTAATGTAGAATATCCTGCTTATTTGTAATTACAGTGGTGAGACAAATTTACTTTTGAGCAGAAATAGGTATTTCCAAAGTTAATTGATGTCTTCTACTTGGTAAGGAAAAGTCAAAGATATTCAAAATAGAATAGGCTTTATAATTTAAGTATCTACCAAAAATTGAGAAATATCTGTACATCCTATGTACAGTTCTTCACAAACTTTTATAATTTGTCATTTTTTTCTCATAGAAAAAAAAATTAAGAGTCTTTTACAAGGTAGCTTAATTCACTTTTCTTTAACTATGTAACTAATAAGTGGAGTGTAGATACAAAACATTGTTTTGATTTTGTGACTCTTACACTTGCAAAAAAATGAAGAAATATGCCTCTTTTGCATATTCCTAATGACCGTGATTGCCTTGTTCATTGTGTTTTGAATAAGTTGGTTGGCTTACTATATATATAGCTGACCCTAAAATATTTTAAATTTTTATCAAGGCTAGATTTTTAACTTAATATCTATAAATATAAATTTGACTGAATCAAATTTATCTTTTAGTGGCTTAACTTCTATGTACATGATATATAGAAATTCCTAGGCTACCATTGTTTACACACTTTATAATAAACCCTATTATATTTATTAAGTTAGTGAACTGCCTTGTTTTTATGCCAAATCATGATGGATTGTCACATCATGCTAAGACAGATCATATGGTGATGTGTAAAAACTTTTGATCAATACAGCTTCAATAGTCTCAGAATCAGAATACTGGATAATAAACATCTCAACTGAGGACATTTTATTGTAAAATAAGTGTAAAACAGATACAGTACTATAATGGAAAGAAACTGTACTTACACCTTTAAGGAAAATAGGGAAAATATGTAAAGGTTCTTTATATTATGTCTAGATATTCAGACTAAAGTTAGGTATTCTTTCTTGATAATTTTGAAGCTATGTTCATCTAAACATTTTAAAAAATAATGTTAAATGGTTTGGTTAAATTATGGCTTCAGAAACAACAACGTCAAGACTTTAATTTAGAAGCCCATTTAGACGACTCAATGGTTTTCATTAAGGGTTAGCGATCTTTTTTTTCTCATTCCATTGCATTTCAAAGTACTCAGATGGCAAAATATTGGGATGTTTTTCTGAATAAATCAGAATTGATTACTAATTATCAGATCACAGAACAATGTTCATATGTTTTAGCTATATGTCCTTATTGTACTATACAAATCTCTCTCTCTAGGGACCAAGGAGTACTTATGGAATCTATACGTGAAATTCTTCTGCTCATTTTGGTTACTGAAAGGAAAGACATTTCTAGGAATCAACAAAAGTTATTTTCATTTATATATTTTTATAATATGCTAACTGAACTTGTGAGGCTTTAAAACTTTGTGTAAGTAGCTGTGATAGCTAGTTCTGTGGCAGTGCATGTATCCAAAACAGAAAATGTCCATAGAAATTTTAGGAGATGATTCCTCTATGATATGTGAAAACGTGTATAGAAAAATCACACACTCTTGTTAATTTTTGGACAAATTGCATTCTGTATTCATACAAAAACAACTTAACTTTTCCTGACAACTGTACATATAGAAACAAGTTCTTGACATGAACTGAAATCTGGATGTGCTCCATGTCTCACATCACTAAAAGGAAAAACAAAAACAAAAAACCCCAGCTTTCTCTTCAGATATCAATTTAAGAAATACAGGTATGATAAGGGATTGGGATGGTGTGGAAATGAAACAAAGGTTGTTGTGATGGTATTATTAGCTGGTATTTAATGGTGGAAAAGACCTCCTTAGGAACTAATGAACAATCACTTATCTCCATTTAGAGTCCATGTTTGCAGGATTGCAGAATTATTTTTGTAATAATTCTGCAACAAGTGGAAAGACTGGGTTTTTCCCAGTCATGACCTCTTCTATCGACCCCTTCCTCCACCTCTAGAACCTCCTCGCCTTGACTGGCTTGAGTTCATGTTACTTCCTCTTCCCCAGTTACTCCCACTTCTTCCTCCTCTAGAAGGATTGTTTCCTGGAGGTCCTCCAAATTCTTCTCTATGATATCCATCATGATGCTCTCCATCCAAAGAACTGGATCTTCCAGACTTTGACATTCTCTGTGAAAGGCCTGATTTTCCACGTCCTAAAATAAAGGGAAAATGTCATTGTTATCTTTCTGATGGAAAATATAAAAAACGTTATCTCAATTTTTTTACACTGT